GCCGCGTCCTGAGGGCTTTTCTGCCTCTCCCGTCCCGGGCAGCCGCTCCGGGAGCTCCGTGCCTTGCCATGGAGCTGTGGCAGGTGCCGCTGAGCTTCTCCCGCCTCCGCATGTTCCCTTTCTTCGACCTGGCGCATTATGTCGCCTCCGTTCTGGCGCTGAAGGAGCAGCGGGGTGAGCGGGGCGAGACGGGACGGGGCGGACACCCCACACCCCCACCCCAATGCCGGTGTTCCCCCGTGCTCCCCCGGCCCTGCTCCCCGTGTGTCCCGCGGGGTGCCCCGTCCCGGCAGGCTGGGCATGGGGGTCTCCAGGGGAGCAGCCGACCCGGTTACCCCATGGCCGTGCAAATGGGATTGTCTGCCGCTTGCACTAGCTCATCTGCCCATAAGCGATGTCTCACCTCCCGCAAAAGACACCCAGCCGAGCTTTTCTTGCTTGCCAGAACTTAAGAGGCGCTGGTGAAAACAAACAAGAGCTTTGTTGGAAACCTTTTAATTTTTATTCAGTTATGCATTTGTTTCGGTTTTAAAGTCTCAGGAGTAGAAGGGTTGAGGCCCCTCGAAGTTCGGTTTATGGGTGCAGAGAAGGCATGTGTAACACAGGCCAATATCTCTGCCCAGAGCTGCAGCTGAGAGGGTGTTTTACATCCTTTGGTTTATGCAGAGGGGCCTTAAGGCCATTCTGCCTTGTAGGAAACAGCTCAGGACTCTCACGGGTGGGTCCTGTGCTAGTGGCTTGTACCCCAGGGATAGTAAAGTGAATTTAGCAAAGCTTTCCACTTCTGCTAATGAGGTTTTGAATGAAAGCACACCATGGCATTTCAGTCTCTACATGCTCTCTTCCAGAAAATCTTCTACACTGTGGCTGTTAACCCCAAGCTTGGCTTGTTTTGTTTTGTTTTGTTGTTGTTTTTTTTGTTTTGTTTTGTTTTGTTTTGATATTTGCTGTCACAAATGTAACAGTGTAGACACTGGCCTTGTTTCAGAGTTTAGCATTAAGCTACTTGTGGTGTGGGTTTAGACATGTTTACAGTAACTGTGTATCCCAGGTGATAACTGTGTAGAAAACTGAGCTGGCTTTTGGGACTGTAGTGCAAATTTGGGAGCTTCTGCTTGCCTCAGACTTACAGGGCTCTGCACTGTTTGTTTAGTGAGAGATTGTTCTTTGGTCCCTTTCTAAATGTTCCGAGGTGAATTTTGACCTTCTGCTGGTGAAATGCACTTAACAGACTGTGAAGACTGGTATAAAAATCCTTATGTTTTCTAGAATCTTCACCAAACTTTATTAATGCTGCTAAATTTTTTTAATGGGTGCTGTGGCATAGTGTAATGTGTCTGTTCCATTTAGAAAGGGACTTTTTGACATGATCATGCAATACCTTTAAACTTTTCTCTGGAATGGGCACATCTAAAGACCAGGATGAGAGGCCTCTTTGCTTTGCATCAGCATAGTTTTAGTGAGGCAGCACTTATGGAAAGTAAAATTGCTGTCAGAAGTTTGGTCAGATCCATGCTCCTATTTATTTTTTTCTTCTTGGCTTAACAGCTGGTAGTTCGGAACTCCTGAGTATTTTCTAACACTTGGAATTAATAACTGTAATCCAGGTACCTGCCTGCTGGCCTGTTTCTCACTTCCCAAGTGGTTTGAACTGAGTATTAAATCATAACTGAAGTACCAGTTATTATGAATACTCAGTATGGATATATTATTGTCAATTAACGCTGTCTAGGCTTTATGTTCTTCTTGGAAACTTAAAACAGTAGCTATATTTGACAGGGAAATAACGGGCCATGAGTGCCTGGTGATGTAAGAAGTGTGTGGTCAAGTTACAGCTACATTTGCTTTATCCCAGATTACTGTCTCATTAAAATACCAACCCACCCCCACTGCTTAAAATCAGATTCAGTGTGGGCATTTGGATCATGGATGGGTGCACACTACCTGGGACTTTTCCAGCCCTCCTGGTCAGACTTTCTTGCCCACTTGTGACTGGAAAACTGCAGCAGTGACAACCAAGTTGTTGCTTTCTGCGTGTTTTAAAAGAAGAGTTCTTGATTACTGCTTTTAGGATGGCTTAGGAGTTGCTAGTTTGTAACTCCAGCCAGTTGTAGAACTGGCAATTTTCTTCTTTTGGGATAGAGAGACGGCAAAAGGTGTTGATGTGCCATATTTGGTTTGTTTCTGACATTTTTTTGTGATGTGTTTCAGGTGATTTGAAGAGAAATTATTTCTCCAGCATAATTTTTCTCTGTTGAGTCTGACTCTATAAATCCTTTATCTTAACTAATGATATTGTATATAGTTGAACGGGTTACTAGAAAAAACTTGTGCGTATCGTCCTGGTTTGCTCGCTAGATGTGTGTGTAATATGCATTATTACCTGTTTTTATGCTGAAAAGTTTAAAGCAGATATAATCTTGTTGGTAAGGTTTTTTGTTTATTTGGGTGTTTTTGTTTGTTTTGTTTTTTGTTTTGTGATGTTTGGGTTTGTCTTTTTTCTTTTTTTTTTTTTTGTTGTGTTTTCTCTTTTTGTTTGTTTGTTTGAGTTTGTTTTTGTTTTTTTCTTTTAATGTTACTATTGTTCAGGAATGATATTTAAAACTTCATTCAAAATTAGTCCTTGTGTTCTGAAGCCTTTCCTTAACTTTCTGAAGTGTACATCTGCAGGGCTTGTGGCCTTCTGGCCGATTCACCATTGCGTGGCTGTGTGATGCCTCATTAATTTTAGAGGATGCATCAGAGGACAAATATAAATGACCACTTTGTATAAAAACATGTGACCTACTTAAAACTGTCTTCTGAAAGGGTACACCCCAGTCATAATTTAGGTAGCAAAGCTAAGATGATATTTAAATTAGTATCAACATTTTTTGCCCCATTGCCTTCTGTATTGGGTATATTTCTTGTAAGAAAGCAGGTATGAATTGTTAAAAACAGGCATTTGATCCATTTCTAGAGCTGACCAATAGAAAAATATTGAAGTGCAGTAGTTTCCAGTTTCTTGACCTTTTACTTGTAAAATGAAGAAATTTACCTGCATTGTTTTAGAGCTTACTTGTAGAGAGCAAGCTGGATGTGCCCTCAAAACTGAAAGCCACTTGCTGCTAGTTGTGGGGAAATGTGGAGAAGCTAGTCATTGTTGGAAGGCAGGAAATGGATTTGAAGAGAGAACAGATACCTAATTTTAAACTTACTCCAAAAGTAGTAAACACAAGCCATTAATATTTTACAAGCGTCTTACTTGGAGCACCAGGTACTGCAAAGTGAAAAATAAATTACAAAATAGTTAAAAATAAAAGAGATATTATTTTATATTCAGGTATTCTGTAATGCTTAGGAGTGCTCATTTTTACAAGTTGGCTGCATCAGGACATTTAGATAGTGTTGCAGTACTTCATATCTATGGCAGCACTAAAACTGGAACAGTCTTGTTAATATATTTAGTGAATTGTTTTGAGAGTGCTGTATGGTTTTTTTAAATGTTTGAGCCTCTCATCTTGGGTAAGAAGCTTCTTTTCCTACAGAAATGCCTGATAAACCAAAGCTTCTACTCTGAACTGGGGACAGATGACAAATTTCATTTTGGGGCAGACAGTAGTGCTTTTGAGAACTTCAGCCTTTGGACTTCAGAAAATTAAACTCATTCAAGCAAACAGAGCTCAGAACCAGTGCAAAGGGAAAGTTCTGGCAACACTGAACTTTTAAAGTAGAAGGAAATAATCAAAACAACTACTTGAGGATATTTCCAGTTTTGGTAAAATATTGTTTTCCTCTGAAAATGGTTAATATTTCCCATTACCTCCAGTATAATTTTTTAATATTAAGTACTCTTTTTGGCATAGTTCCCTTGCATTTTAAAAGGATAGGTTATTTTAAAGATAATGAAATAAAACTGTCAACCTTTTAATAATTAGGGAAATTTACATTTATTATTATTATAGTTCAAGGTAACCTTTTTTCCTCTCTTTGAGAGTGCAGGAGAAAACTATTTGATAATTATTTTGGATGCCATTTTCGTTTTGGCCAGCAATCACAGCCTGGTATTACAAAGAAAGGAGGCAAAACAGTTACCTTGAATTCTTGGAACACTCAAAAGCAGAAATGGAATTCCTAGAATAACCCTCTAAATGTTAGCAATCATGTTTAGATAAGCCACTTAGGTGTTTTTAATACAAATTTGAAAGCAAGTGTGTTCCTGTGTCAGGCTGTTAACAACAGGACCTTGCTGCCATGCTCTGAAAGCCTTTTCTTCATGGTACCCAGATATAACAAAGTAATGCACAAAAGATGTTCAGGGAGCACTTTGTCAGCCTTTCACTTCTGCTTAGGAGGCGTAGGTTAAAGTCACAGTACCCTTAGGTTTGTATTTCTGGAAAATTTTCCTGTGAGAGCCTGCCAGTTGCTGGAGAATTTTTCATTACCTGAAGGAACTAAATTGAAAAATACTGACCTTTAAAACATGGTGTTATTATTCAGTTTTCATTTCTGTTTATGCTGTTACTGTTATTACTTTTTTTTTTCCCACAGGAGTTGTGGAAGTGTCGGTCCGAAGTCCATTGGCCTGCTGGTTTAGTGCAATGCTTTATTGCTTTGGGGGTTCAGTTTTGTCCTCCTTGATGCTTGGTGAACCTCCAGTTGCATTTCTGGCAAAGACCATAAATATTCTACTGGCATCCTCAGTCTGGTAAGCAGCCACAATGGGGTAAGATAACTAATATTGTCTCTAAGGAAGCTATATGTTGTGAACTGACACTGTACCATTAAGGTTCTATGTAAATCATAATTTTTACTTAGAAGTGTTGTGGGTTTGGATGTTGTCTCTTCATCCAGAGGGTCACAGCAGCTGTTTTGATCCTGTTCTTTGGGAATAGAGAGCATCTCTTAGAGCCTGTTGTGTTACAAAATGCTCTGTTGCTAGATTAGACTTGCCTTAGGTTTTTATGGTATTCCTGGTCAAACAGCTGAAAACATTATTTTTTAATAAAGTTAATTCAGTTGCTGATTGGCTGAACACAGGTATGTCATAAAAGCAGTCAAGTTTTGCAAAAGTAGCTCTTGAAGCCCAGAACCTGGCTGATGTAAAAATTTTGGACTTTCCTGTAACTGAGGTTCCAAGACACATATATTTTTTTTTCAGTATTTCGTTCCTTCCCAGATGGGTGGGTGTTGTTGCAGAAGACAGTAGCCAGCTGAATTGTATGCTTGAATCAAGTATGAGGCAATTTGGCAAGCTTTGGAATTAAAAAGTAAAAAATAAAAATTAAAAAAAAATATTCTGGAGTTATTTTCATATAAATGTGGCCTTCAAGTGGAGTTCATTTGTTCCAGAAAGTGATCTTTTAAGAAAACTTCAAACTTAACAAAAATTATGAGCAGCAGTGGGGTTTTGAATTTAGAAAGCTCAATCACTATATTTGGATAGTCTGGCCTGCCTAAAATCCTTTAGTTCCAGTAGCCCCATAAGTTTTACAACTGCAAAATCATTAAACTGAAAGAAAGTTTCTATCTGTCTGGGAATATGTATTAGTTTTGTGGTCTTTGTGTTGCAATAGGAGATGACATATTGGATTTAGGCAAATGGGTGAAATTAATAGTATGTATTAATTAGTGAATTATTAACAGAGCTTACAGAACCTGCCTGTAGTTCTGTTAGTCTGATGTGGGCAGACTGATTGCTTGTGTCATCAAGTGCCATGTGCTAGGGCTAGGCTTGAAGAGAGCAGGATTTCTTTTTAACTCACTGTGGTCAAATGTGGTTTGTCATGCACAACTTAAAGAAGGTTTTAGTGGGGGGCTATGAATATTACAAAACGTTTTAAGCTTTCAGCTTTACAAAATCCCCTCTTCCTGAGTGTAATGACCTTAATTCCTGGTCCCAGATCATGCAAAATGAAATTCCTCAAGCCATGCTTGGAACTGGAAAGTGAGTGAAGTTGTTCTGAGCTTGAGGAATGCTCGTAAATAGTCTGTAGGACAGCGGCATCTACTGTTAGCAGAGATTACAGGCAGGAATGTCGTGGTGGGCCTTCAGTGCCAGCCTCAGTCCTGTCACCAGTGCTTCAGGGTTCTAAACCCACATTCTGCAGATGTAAATCAATTCTGGTGTGAGTTGTCTGGTGAGTAGGTGGCTTAAATGGCTTCTTGCAGTAGCCTCTAAAATACATCCTCTCTCCGCATCTTTGGCTGAAGCCTGGTTGCATACAGAGACATCTGGAAAGGCCTCAGAAATTCTTGGTAGACAGGATTGAGATCAAAAACCTTAAAGCAAAGTGTCTTTATTATTTATTTTTTTTAAGATAACAAAAAATTATCCTTATTTTTAAACACTTTCTCTGCTCTTACACAATTATTACACTCTTACTCCTGTGCTGAAATAATCTACCTAAAATAATTTAGTCCAGATATTTAATCTTGATTGGGTTTTTGTGAATGTCTCAGTAAGAACTGAATTTTGTTTACTATTGAAGAGATACAATAAAACACTACATAATCTAATCTTCTAAAATTTACTGTCACTTAGGATTTAACTGTTAGCCATCTTTACTTGGTTTTAAAAGCAAGCTGATCAAAGGTATTTTGAGTAGTGTTCTTTCAGTGCTTTGAATAAAAAAGTGTGCTTGTAATTGGCAAGCTGGAAAAGAGTACTTAGTACTCACCTAGAATTGGTGAGTACTAAGATGTTAGATGTGTTTAAAAATAGCCATGCATTTCATCTAGCATGACACTAACTAGTGGAGGCATTCTTGCTGAGGTTATATAATTCCAGGTACCTACAGTCTGGAAGCACAGAATCAGCATTTAATTTACTACTCTTTTTACCACCCAAAAAAACCTAACGAAAAACCAAAACCAAACAACCCCCTACACAAAACTAAATGAAAGATAACTCACAAAATAAACTCAAACCACACAAAGTCAATCAGATACTACTTTAGTAACTTGGATTATAAAAATGTGATTATATGAATTGTAGAGCAATTGGAAAAATGTGAAACTATTTCACATGGACTTTAATGGATTCTTCTCTGGGACAATGAGGCAATAGTGTTTGGCTTTGGTGCAAAAGCTCAGGCATACTCAGAAGCTTTTCAAATTTGTTCCAAGATGAGTTGTCAGTAGTATAATAAGCATTGCTAGACATATGCCAAAAACATCTTTAAAGATTATGGAAATATAATTCCTTAGCAAAAATGTGGCTAACTTTTTTTTTTTTTGTGATTATTTTCAGGTATCTAGTGTTTTACTGCCCAGAAGACATATTCTGCCGCTGCTTTTCCTTTCTGCCTCTTCGTCTTCTGGTGGCAGGAATGAAAGAAGTGACAAGGACTTGGAAGATCACAGATGGCATTGCACATGCAGACATTGTCTACAAAGATGCCTGGCTTGTCATGGTAGCTGTGGGCTGGGCCAGAGGTAACGTGCATAGCATCTTGTTCTGAGGCTTTGGGGTGTTTTGGAGTGGTGTTTAAATGTCTAGCCCCTGAGCAGAACTGTAGCACCATCCTTGCTGTGCTGGGCATGGCAGTCCTGATGAAATCTGATGTCCCCTCAAGGAATAAGCCTGTACTGCAGATTTTCTGCCTGAATTAAGGGTGACATTGAAGGGCTTTGAGGGAAGTTCCCTTCAGTAGTCATACAAGAACTTGTAGGATGTAGGAACCTGAGGTTCTTGCTGAGTATCTCAAACTCTGAAGTTTTGTGGTTGTCATTTGAGTCTTGTTTGCATGAAAAGTTGGATTAAGTCTGTTTAAGTCTGGGTTTTGGTGCCATATTTAGCACCTGGTGTCATGAGTTTTCCTGGGAGCAATGGCATGGTAGTGGTAGCAGTCAGTGGAAATTTGCCATAAATCTCTGCAATTTTAGGTGCTGGTGGTGGCCTAATTTCCAACTTTGAGCAGCTGGTGAGAGGAGTGTGGAAACCTGAAACCAATGAGCTCCTGCAGATGTCCTAGTAAGTTTTTTCTAAAAACTGCAACAAGTTAGCTGTTGTTCTACTAACTCCTTGTGATGATGCTTACTTTCAGTGGTTTAGGCCAAAAATAAAGAAAAGCATTAGGACATATTTGCACTCTGTTTTGGTGTGTATCCTCAAAACATGGGATGATGGTCTTTGGGACTTTTAGGAGATGTTTTAACCATTTTATGTTCATAGCCCAAGAGCTGCAGATGGGAAGAGAAGTCAACAAAACTTGCCAGAAAGTAGTAAAGACCTAGTGGGGAATTGCTAGAAAGCAGTAATGACTCAGTTTTTCTTACAGGGACATGGTCTTCTATCAAAAATGAAAGTACAGAGGTACTAGAAATACACAAGTGAATTTTGGTGTATGTTCTGAGTATCACTAAGATGGCTTCCTTTGAACTGTCACTCTTACTTTTGCTGTCAGTGCTATTTTCCTCCAAAGACACCAATTATTTGAGAAGGTACAAATTGGTTATTCAGTATAGCAGAAATGACCTGCAAGATGGGAAAAGTTACTTCTCTTGCAGAAGCAAAGAATGAGGAATATTGCATGCCTCCTGGTTTTCTCTGTAAAATGAGAATTGAAACAGGCTGGAAAGCCACAAGCTATTATTGTAAGTCAAGATAAGGTCACGGTGATAATTTCCTAAAATTCTTTTGATCTTTCCCAGGTTACACTCAGGTCTTTAAAAATAATAATTTTATTTTTTAAAAAGCTGTCTTGCTTTTCAGCAGCCACTCCTAGACACAGAATAACAGGAGAGACATTTGTAGCCTTCTCTTTGGCAATATTTAAACTTTCTGTGGATTGTGTTGTTTTTTTCTGAAATTCTGAGTATTTAGAATTTCTCTTTCTTTTGTCAGTGCTTCAATGGCAGTCTTGAAAGTAAACTTCCAGAAGAAAAGGTGACTGTCAAAAATAGTACTCTAGACACAAATAAAACTGTCTTTACAGGTGCAACACCAGAGCAATGCTTACTGATTGGCATCACTTGCATATATTCTCTTTCTCCACAATGGGCAAAGTAACTCAAAAAAGATCTTAAAAGTTTTGTTTATGTATAAGTCTTAAAAGGATTAAATTGAATTAAATTACAGAGTTAAACACATCAAACATCCTGCAAATGGATGAGATGGCTGTGTACACAGGGTTGTTTTTTGGGCTTCTTGAGCCCAAAAAATTTGGTTACTGAAAAGACAGTGAAGAACAGATCTACAGTAGATGCTCTGGAGTGTCACCACTGGATGTGGTGGATGCAGGAGTATCCCCTGCACATGTCACATGTAGATTAAGAAATGCACAGAATTCTGGATAACTGACCAAAGATCTCTTGGTTTCTGTCTGCATACTTAGGAGGGGATTTAGTATCACAACAAAGATTGCTGTAAACTGGAAATAGATTGGAAATTTTTGCATGTCTCAGGTCAGCACAGCTGTACTGACAAAACCTGGTTACACAGGCCTGGCTCCAGTTGGGTCTAAGCTGATACTGTCCCAGAGCTGCTGGAGTGTTACAGTGGATCAAGACTTGGACTATGTTACTCTTCAACACCTTAAGCAACTCCCTGTAGTAACTAACTCCTGCAGTATAGTATAGGAACCTGTTTTTATGTCTAGTCCAAGTAGTGTGAGCTCTGTAATTTAACTTTACAATAAAACATGTTGAGAGAAGAAGAAGAGAATGAAACTGACATATAAAGTCGGAATAGAAGCATTGATTTGAGGAGTATTTGTCAAATAGGAGTTTGCTGGGTGTGCAAAGTAGTGCCAGACTTGATGATACATGGACGGAAAGCATAGTAATAGTATGCAAAGTGAAACTCTTAATCTAGTTATAGCTGTATTTTGGATCTCACTGCTGTTAGCACAAGTTTTCGTTAGTTCTATTCAGAGACAAATCTTTTCCACACTAAGAACATTTACTGCTTTCCAGACAGCTTCCACTGTAGAGAAAAGAAGAGAAATTAACATTCTTTGTTTGCTTTCTAGCCCTGTGAAGGCAACTTTGATAGGAGCAGTTCTTTTCAGCCTGCAACGCAGACAATACTTGCCAATAGCAAGACACAACCTTATGTTTTTATACACCATCTTCCTTGTTGTCTTCAAGGTAAGAATTTGAAAGTGTTGCTAGTGACCAAATAAGAGAAAATATTTTATTTAATTTTCAAAATGCATGCTTCTGGATGGAAAGGCCAGCTCCTGCTGAAGTAATGTGTTTAGTGTTCTATACATGAGCAGAATGGAAGACCTGTTCTGTTACACTGATTCTGTTCAATGTATGCAGGGGATGGGGAGTAAAATTAAAAAAAAAAAACCAGGAATTTTGGCACTCAATATTTGATATTCCAGGCTTGTATGTGTGTAATCTGAAAAAAAGCTTATTCTTGTATAAAGAAACTCTCCTGTTCTCTGTCTTTTGTCTGTACCTATGCTGTCACCAGTGGGTTTGTAAAACAAGCCAGCTGGATTCTCATTTGATTTAAAGTGTTCACAAAATAAGTGTTTGGGTGGGAAGGGAAAGCATACCAAAACTATTTTGAAGTAGCTGTAACTATTTTTAATAAAATAGACACTACTTCTCTATTGAAGTCTTCAGTCCCTCAAGCCTTGTTCCTTTCCAGCATGATGCTTTTCTTCTGGATTACTAGTTTATAAGAAGGGAATCTCTGTTAGCAGATATCTGACAATTTTAAGAGCTTCAGAGCTGGTGCTGAACAGACCAGAGAATGTATGGAAGTGTGGTTGCTAGTCTCCTTTCTGTGAAGGAGCTGACAAGTTTAATTCTGCAGAAGTTACTTTAGGGAGTCAAGACTTGAAGCTTGTGTCCTTGATTTTCCATCTGAACTGATAAAGGCATTGTTGAACTGTGGATGCTGGGAATGGAGAGGGAAAGGAATGCTATTCTGGAAGTAACTAATTGCAGGTGTCCACAGAAACTGGCTGTCTGGTTACACTGGAGTAACTAAATCCTTATACTGATGGTTGCACTGACAGTCAGGAACTCTACCACCCACATCACTAACAAAGTAATAAAGCCACAGTGTATCTAGCTTAGTCCTTTAATGAAATCTCTTATAAACTTGTCATGTCTCTGAAAGCTGTTGAAACTGTTGCAATATTAACTTGTTCAGTACCTGGATCTGAAGAATAGGTTTCTCAATCCTGATTATTCCATGTTATGTGTCCTAAGGGGTGTCCACCTAAATCTCTGAACTTTATGGAATGATTATGGCTGTCTGGAATTCTAATTAAAGTCTGGTTATGCACCTATGCATTCAGATCCTTACACATTCCGTTCTTTCAATTTAGGTGGAAGGAAGCCACTCTGTTTACAGTTTTTCAGTTTGAACAAGGCACAGAACTTACACATAAAAGTTGCTCTTCACCTTAGTTATATGGCATTAAATGTGATTTACTCTCAGGATGATCAATCTTACAGAGAGTGTTTTTGTGCATATTGTTTATGTCTAGCTCATAGAATCATAGAGTCATACAATGTTAAGGGCTGGAAGTGGTCTCAAAGATTATCCAGTTCTATCCCCCTACCATGGGCAGAGACATCTTCTAGGCTAGGTTTGTCAAGGCTTTATCCAACCTGGTCTTGAACATTACCAGGGCTGGGTTATCAGCAGCATCTCAGGGCAACCTCTATCCCACCACCCTCACAGTAAAGAATTTAATCCTGGAATCCAGCTTAAATTTCCCCTCTTTCAATTTGTATCCATTCCCCCTTGTCTTGTTGCTACAGCTCCTGATGAAGAATCCCTCTATGGCCTGTAGATCCCCTTCACAGCTGTCTGAAGAGTGTTGGTCAGAAAGAAAAGCATTCTTTGACCAATTTCAGCTAAAATGAGCAGACTTCTGTTAGTGGTGGCACAGCCTCATGCTTGTGTACAAAGTTAAAAATGCCATACACCCCTTCAGCTTTGAACTTGTTTACCTGTGAAGCCATCACAACTTTTATTGTAACTTGATCCTTGTTCTTCGTAGGTAAAAATGATGTTGACAAGATGTGCAACTTCTCCACTTGCTCCCTTTGAGGCTGCAATGGGCCAAATGTTTTTTGGCTCACGAAAGATACCTTCTAAAGTGAAGGGTGAAGGTGCCACATCTTCCAACGGCTCTTCAGTCTGTGACCAGCCTTCTGAGCAGCACCATGAGAGTGCTAAGAAAAAACAAGCAAAGAAAACAGAATAAGTGGCTTAAAATCCTTGTGATGGGCATGAAGATGTTTGTCTTCCAGATTAGGCTGGCTGAGAAGTTCCTCTAAGGAAATGAGAACAGGGCTGTGTTGTGGTTTGCCTTTTGGAATGTGTTATGTAAGCTATGTGTAAATGCACATGTTGGATATGTGAGTTCAAACTACAAATTTTTATGGTGGTTAAAAGTTTACTAATTTTTGTATTTATGATATCTTCAAATGCTTATATGTTTAAAAGATAGTTTCAAAAATGTGACAATCATGTATATATATTTTTTCCTACCGTGTCACTTGTTTCACATCTTCCTATTCCCCAGTTCTTATATTTCATTTTGATAACACTGATTTGTACTGTCAGGTGTTCACTGTAGCACATCCCAAATAAGTAATTAGATAAGGCTTAATCACATTGCACTGTGTGAAACCATAGAAATATACCAATTTAATGCCTTCAACTAGAAAAGTAACTGAATTGTTGTTGTAATTCACATTGCATTGGTCTAGATTTTCTTCATTCTTAAAGTAAATATTTTCAAATATTTTTAGTGTTTTAAAATGAGAGTACATTATCTGGTACTTAAAAATATCTTTACAGTTAGCAAGTAGAAACATAGCAATATTTTTCTTGTTGACTTAGTTGGACTTTTTATTTACAAGTATTTGAGATGTAGGTGTTTTTTGCCACATTGGTGTTTTACAAGTGGTTTGTGGTTATCTTTTGCTTCATTTGGGTCTAGACATTATTTGCCTGTATTTTTTTTTCCAAGCATATGCACTTATTTTTTTTCAAAGACAAACTTCAGTAGAAAGAATAATACTGGACAGTACATTTACCTTGTTTAGTGAGCACCCTCAGGTGCAAGACAGAAATGGGAGCAGGATGTTGCCCTTATAATCTGTGAGGGAATGGTCAGTGAGCTGCTAGAACACCTCAACACTCCCAAGTGGTGGGATGGGATCCACCCAGGGGTGCTGAGGGAGTTGGCTGAGCCAGCTCACTGAGCCACTTCCAATCATTTATCAGCAGTCCAGGCAAACTGGGGAGGTCTCAGTTAACTGGAGGTTGGAAAATGTGAGACACATCTACAGGAATGGTCAGAAGGAGGATCCAGGGAATTAGAGGTCTGTCACCTGCCCTCAGTGCCAGGGAGGCCATGGAGCAGATCACCTTGAGTGCCATCAGCAACAGGAACAGGACAGCCAGAGCGTCAGGCCCAGCCAGCCTGGGTGTAGGAGAGGCAGGTCCTGCCTCACCGACCTGATCTCCTCCTGTGACAAGGTGACCTGCTCAGGGGCTGAGGAAAGGCTGTGGCTGTGTCTGCCTGGACTTTACAAAGCCTTTGACACCTTCTCCCACAGCATCTCCTGGAGGAGCTGGCTGCTCACGGACAGGGCCCTGTTCCGTGGGTGAAGGAGTGTCTGAGGGCAGGGCCGGGGAGTGGTGGGGAATGGAGGGACATCCAGCTGGGCTGGGCACCAGTGGGGTTCCCATGGGGTTAGAGCTGGGGCCAGGCCTGTTCAACATCATCAAAGGTCAGGATGAGGGGATGGAGGGCCCCCTCAGTCAGTTCCTGGCAGCTCCAGGCTGGGGCAGAGGGGCTGGCAAGCTGGGAAAGGCTCTGGGGGTGCTGGTGACAGCAGCTGGACACGAGCCCAGGGGTGGCCAGGTGGCCAAGAGGCCGATGGCCCCTGGGCTGTGGCAGCCGTGGGGCGGCAGCAGGAGCAGGGCAGTGCCCGTCCNATTGAGGGGCTGCAGCGTGCCCAGAGAAGGGAACGGAGCTGGGAAGGGGCTGGAGCCCCAGCAGGGGCTGAGGGAGCTGGGAAAGGGACTCAGCCTGGAGAAAAGGAGGCTCAGGGGGCCCTTCTGGCTCTGCACAAGTCCCTGCCAGGAGGGGACAGCCGGGGGGGGGGAGTCAGGCTCTGCTCTTAGGGACAGGAGGAGGGGAAATGACCTCAAGCTGTGGCAGAGGAGGGTTACTTTGGACATTAGGAAGCATTTATTCACAGAAATGGTGAAAAGCACTGTTCCAGGGAGGTGATGTAGTAAACATCCGTGGAGGGATCTAAAATGATATGTAGATGTTACACATGGGGATGTAGTTTAATGTTGGCCTTAGCCATTCTGGGTTAATGCTTGACTTGATCTTAAAGATCTGTTCCAATCTAAACCACTCTTTAATGTCAGAAGCACTGAAGATTTTTATTAGCATTTGCTGAAATCTTGCTGCTTTCTGCTTGTTGTGTCTTTTTTTTGCTCAAGATGTGAAGCAGTTCTAAATGGCATACACTTCATAACTGAGAACTTTGGCATTTTTGAGATGTTACAATACATAAGAATAGAATCTTTTCAGAGCAATTTTTTCGTTGATGTGCCAATTTTTTAGAATAAATGATTTTTACAAAATTAGACTATTTTCTTCAGAGAGTAGTGCTTTGCAGAGTATTGTTCAGCAAAGAGGGGTTAGGTTAATCTTTGTGCAGGGATGGTAAGGAGAATGTGGAGGGAGATCTGATTTGAAAAGACAAAGTTCTAGTTCCAGGTACATCTCTAAATTTAGAAAAGCTGTCACCAATGCTGTGCTTAGAGAAAAGAAAAATAAAAGTACCAAAGAAATTTCTTGTGCCTGAGTAGTCACATTTCCATGGTGATGACCAAAAGCATTGAACTCAGTTTGAAATCCAACTTCATTGAAAATGTGCTGTACCTTGAAAGCTAAAATTACTATTTTCTTTAACACTTAAGTTAAACAAAACACCCCAAACTCTTTGGACAAACTAGCAGTTATATTCCTTACATGTTACACTGAAACTTAGTGTTCAGTGTAATACTTGTAAAGGATACTATAGATATTTGTAGATACTTGCAGATACTTGGAGTCTCATTTTTTTGTAGCTTGATGTCATGGATTAAATAGAAGCTGCCAATTAACTAATTAACAATCAACTACTTATGAAGCAACACCAGCACATGCCACCTGTTCATGGTTTTTTAAAGTTTTGGATGTTTTTCTGAATAGGTGTAATGGTGTATTCTAAATCATGAGCCATACAGAAAGGGATTGTGATATGGAACTGTGTTACACATCTGTGAAATTCTGCCTGAAAACTGGCTGTTCCCAGCCCGAGTCAATGTGAAAATATGCTTAGACTAAGTCTTTAACAAGTTTACAATTAGAGGGAAAAAGAAAATGTTTTGTATTAATTTTCAGTGTTAAAGACAACAATATTAATTTTGTTTTTAAAAAAATTGCTTTCTTGTCTTATACCTTAAAAGTAATGCACAACACACAAAAAATGTATATTGTTGTGAGACAGAACACAAATTATGCTGACAGAAATCCTACTTTAAGTACCATGAAAACAAAACTTTTTGTTTAAAGGTATCACATGCTTCTGAAGGATGGATGCTCAAAAGGGCTGCATGCTGAATAGCTACATGCATATGTTGTGAGAACTACATTTTATGACACAGAAAAAGATAACCAGTTGCTCAGGGTTTACCCTAAATTCTGTAGGAGACATTTATACAATGTGTCCAGGATGCCTTAAATAAACCCCAGCTTTCACGCGGATAGTTCTCTATGCTGGTAAACTTCTGTGTGAAAATTTTAACGATTTCTTATAACTGTTCTGGTAAAGTGTGTCAGATTCAGCTGCACACATGAACTAGTTGGCTGTATGTAATTTTGTCATTAACCTGGTAACATTAGAAGAAGCTGTATTGTGCCTATATAAACTAAGTCATTAAGAAATTGCTTTATCAGCTCAATTCTTGGGCTATAAGGGCATGTTCTTGATTAAACCAGTTGCTGTTTGGAGTAATTTCTACTAAATACACTCAGCTTCTTTAAAAAGGAATACCTTAAAATTGGCTTCAGGAACAGAACTGAAGTTTCTTTAGACAATAAATGCTATTTGCTTTCCTCTTCTGTGCTTTCTCCATTTAATTTTATTGGAAAAAAGTGGAGATGGGAGGATGTCACACAAGCAGTACCGTCATCTGAAATGTGATTCTTCAGTGTATTGTTAGGCAAGACACAGTTGTTCAAGAATTTCAAACATCTGTCTTCTGTAGGAATCTGAATCTGCTCAGCATAAGGGGAGTGCTGAAATCTGACATCTTCCAACAGTCTAGACAGTGAATGCAATATTTACTCAGAGTGAATACTCTTAATTTATAAGGTGAATCCTCATTTCAAAGGTCTAAGTGAAGTCTTAAAATGAGTAGCAACAGAGAAACACCATTTAACGCCAAGATGAGAATCAAAAATGTGTTGTAAATAGTAATTTGCATTTGTTCTGATAAAACTGCTCTGTTAAGCAATCAAAAGCCTTTTGTGAAATGTGTGAAATTGTTCAGCAAGGAATAGATAGCAGTATGAAGGCTGACAGAGAAATACATTAATATTCCCAGGCAAGAACACTGATCTGCCAGTGGGCTTTATCTGCAGTCAGGAAGTAGAATGTGATGATCAAAATGGCATCCCAAATAAAAACTACTGCAATCTAGTGTGATAAATAGTTTATGCACAGCAACCTGCAGCTGGGTTGCACCACTCCTGTTGTCAATAATTGCTGGTGGGTGAGAGGCTGGATATGGCCCAGCTGTGTTCTCTGGCAGTCCAGAAAGCCAAACATTTCCTGAGCTTATCCCACAACATGGGCAGCAAGGGAGGAGGGATTCTGCCCCTCTGCCCTGCTCTGATGAGACCCCACCTGCACCTGTGGGGTGCCCAGTGCAGGAAAGACATGGACCTGTTGAAATGAGTCACAAAAATAATTAAAGGGCTGGAGCACCTCTCCTATGGAAATAGGCTGACAGAATTGGGGCCAAAGACTCCTGGGAGACCTCACAACAGCCTTCCAGTACCTAAAAGGGGATTATGAGAAAGGTGAGAACAGACATTTTAGCAGGGCTGTAGTGATAGGACAAAGGTAATGATTTTAAGCTGAAGAAGGGTAGAATCAGATAATATTAGGAAAAAATTATGTTGAGGGTGATGAAACACTAAAACAGGTTGCCCAGAGAGGTGGTAGATGCCCCATCCCTGGAAACCTTCATGATCAGGTTGGATGAGGTGCTAATCTAGTAAAAAACATTCCTGCTTATTGCATGTGAGTTGGACTAGATGGCCTTTAAAGGTCCCTTCCAACCCAAACTATTCTGTGATTCTTTGATCTATGAAAAAAGATTTCTGCAATGTTGAGACATGTGACAACATGGGGTTGACGGATTGGGGAAGCCCTTACTGAGCCTGGAAGCTGATACTGCCAGTGTCATGTAATTCTTATGAAAGGCACTAAAAGGCAAAAAAGGAAGAAACATGCATCTAAAAGAAAGAAACGTGTCTACTTTGTTGTCCGGCTGAAATTACATCAAGCTCTCTGGCACATTTTTCCACAATAAACTAGATAATTTTTTTTTTAGTAGTAGTCATTTCAATCAGAGTCACCTTTAGTTTGGTAA